AAGAGGACACCCATCCAAGCCTTGAGCTGCCAGCTTCCCAAGAAGAATGCTGTGGGGGATGGTGTCAAAGGCTTTACTGAAGTCCAGGTAGATGACATCCACAGCCTTTCCTTCATCCACTAGGCAGGTCACCAGGTCATAGAAGGAGATCAGGTTGGCCAAGCAGGACCTGCCTTTCATGAACCCATGCTGGCTGGGCCCAATCCCTTGGTTGACCTGCACATGCCTGTTGAGCTCACTCAAGATGAACCTCTCCATAATCTTCCCCAGCACCGAGGTCAGGCTGACAGGCCTGTAGTTCCCCGGATCTTTCTTCCTGGAAGCAGGGAGGGCCCCTCTGCTTCAGCAAATGGTGCGATTTGGTGCAAATTTGATGACTGATCTCCAGCCATGGGCCCCCCTCAACTTCTTACTGACAGATAAGCCCTTCCCAGGGAGCTGCCCTGTGCTCCTCCCCCAAGTCATGCAACAGGGACCTTTCTGGCAAGTTGGCCTTTCCAGCTGGCACCCTTGCAGAAACCCACTCAAAGCTGCCAAAGGGTTTTGTCAAAATTGTGACTGTTCACTTGAAGAGACTCCTCCTTGCTCCCTAAAGTCTAACTCATGTCAACATGCTATCAAAGCGCAGTAAACTCAAGAACCTTAACGGTTAATATTACGAGCAGGAAAAGATGACATTTTGGAAAGAGGAGATTTGGAACACTAATGTCCTTAATATTTAAATGGAAGGCCTTTACAGACTTGCATCATCCTAATCTCTTCCATTCAAGTGGTCTGCGCTTTTCCAAACAGAATCAAGTGGTGACTTTATAAACATGGGATCAAAATGTGGGGGTTTTTTTCCAGGTAAGTTTGCACTGAACCAGCCACTGAGCTCTCTGATGGAGAGAATCAGAACTGCTCACGCATGAGCCACAGACACTATAGAGAACAGAGCTGCAAGTTACCCAATAGCTCAAACACCAGATACTAGATTTCAGAATGAGAACACTCCCATGCAAGGTTTCGTGATACAGAGAGTGAATATGGTATTTGGGACCAATATGGCATTGAGAAATGGGAAAATTATGGCTTTTAAGTAATCATTCAGCCACCTTGTACCTGCATTATCTTGTCCAATTGTTTCTGATTTTCCACAACCATGATATCGGTTTTGCTGTCATGAGCAATGTAGTGGCAGGCCTCTGGAGAATTGGTTGTATATATTCCTGTGACAATTCCTCTGTATCAAAAATGTATATATATAAAAACATGTATTTATATACATACACACACATATACATGCACTTAGTATCAAAAAAGAGAATGATCAAAGATCAGATGAAAGCTGAAAGAGTATGAAGATGTGGAAATAAATAGCAGCACAGATGTCATGTTTGTTTCAAGTATTCAGATATACATTAATATCTCTGGTATATGCACACTGCAAAAACTAATCTCTGAACTCTATTCAGTAGAAGATGCCGTAGGCTAGGATTCAGCATTTTAACCCACTTGAGGCTACACGAGAGTTAGCTCAGGAAGCAGTAAAAAAATCCACTTATGTCCTCCTTCTGTTCAAGCTGCACGCAGATACCAATTTGAGTTTCACTGGCACAGAAACAGCTTAAGAGGTAAAATCCAAATTGTATAAACAGGTATCACGACAGAAGGAATCAGGCTAGTTAGTATTTATCTGTCACTTCATCTACTTGAACGTATCTTGCTGTAGACAACTATCACTAATATAAAACTGGGAGTCTTCATCTGTTTTCCACATCTTCCAGTGGTAAGATACTGTACAATAGCTTCTGTGTGACTGTCACAGTTAAACCCATAGCAAACTATTTATGAGTGTCTGGACTATTTCAGATATACTGAAAGCTATGAGACTCCAGTAGGTCACTGAACATGCTAATCAGCTGCAGCACAACTTCTAAGATATGACACCAAATACTGATTTGCTACATTTCCAGACCTAGCACAACAGAAATCCCCAAATCCCCCACAAAAACAAACCAAAAAATCTTACCCAGCAAAAACAGCTCCAACAGCTGAGATGAACCATTCTGGAGAATTAAATCCAAGGATTGCTACGCTGTGGAATCGTTCAAGACCAAGCTTAAAAATAATAATCATAAGGTTATATAGTATAGGCACACTGGAAAGAAACATACAGCATGAAACATACATACAAATATAAACCATGGAAAGTTTTGATTTATTTATTATTTTGGTATTGACAAGACATGTGTACACATATTTCTGTGATGATATCCATAGCAAAACCAGTATTTATCAGCAATTAACATGATCTAAACTTTCTGCTGTCTTCTCCTGTCTGGTTGAGCTCTGCTGTCAGAAATGCCAGAAAAACAGAACTTCTCCATATGAACAAGAGCATAATGACTACTAATCTTACCCTATGTTTAGAATGCTTTAATATTTGTCTTTATCTCACCAAATTCACAACAGTGCTGCTTTCACCTATTTTTCTTTTTTTAATGTTAAGGCCTTATGCTGATCTTTGTACCTATGACCCAGTGAGACTGTAACACAGCAGCTCGTCACTTGCAGTCAAGTTCCCTTGACAGCAGTGTTATCTCTTTGACCAAACCCAATTTTCATCATTATTATTTCAATAAAGAATATGACTGCTGATCTTCAATTAATGGGAAAAGCCTCGTATATTGTGGTTTTTGGTGGGTTTTTTTTGTTTGGTTAGTTTTTTGTTTTGTTTTGTTTTTTTAAGAAGACAAAGGCAGAAAATGGAATTGGTTTTGTTTCCTGAACCTACCTTCAAGAAGCTCTTGGCTGCTTTCCTGGAGAGCCAATAATACTCTGAAAAAGTTATCTTCTCCCACTTTCCATTCTTTTTGCTGGCCAAAGCGTTAAGGGATCCGTATTTTTCTAGGCTCTCTTTGAACATCTGATGAACTGTTATGGGAGTCTGCGGACAGGAGTTATCTATTCTCAGTCTGACTCTGCCATCAGCAAAGGAAGTCCACAGAGACTCTGGAAAGTAAAGCATTACCATCAAGGTATTCTATCATTGAAAAATACCATGTGACTGTGTACCAAAAGACAAGAAGATTAAATAAAGACTTCAGGACTAAGCACAACTCTGGCACTTCCCACCTTTAGCGAGAAGGGCTTTCCAATTTTATATCTATCAAATATGCCATGTAGAAGAAGAAATCTTTATTTCTTACACTTTGTTCTGCATCTTGAGTAAAAGTGCTACCGTACAGAATTATGCTGATCTTCGGTGTGTTACAGGCACACCACCAATTCCAGAAGAATCTGTTTGCCCATGCTCAGCCCTGCACAACCCACTATTCCTTGAGCTAATGGAGCAGCTGGTGAATCAGAAGGCTACAGAGATCTGTGAAAGATCTGAAAGATCTGTCTCTGTTCAGCATCCCAAGCTCCTTTTGCTTGTCACAGCTCTTTCCTCCTTCCTTCCCCTCCAGCTATTCTCCTTCATCCTGCCCCTGTTCCCCACTACTTCCCACAGTTCTTTTCCTTGGTCATCTGCCCTGTGTTCTAGTATGTATATCCACTCCACTCACTCCTGTCTTGCCCTATTTCCACATCATCTTCTACCTTCTTCTGCTCTTGCCTTCCTCACCCTGTCTTTTTACCACCCACTTTTTTCCCCCCCTCCCATATTCTTCCTCCCCTTCCTTGACAGGACACAGACACAGAGAACCAACTAATGTCACTTGGCTCTCACCACTGGTGCCAAGGACTGGGGCAGTCCCTGGCATTCACAAGAAACGACTGTCTCAAAGATTCTACTTGGCTCTTGCAAACCCAGCAAGAAGCAGGCTGAGTATAAATACACTCCTTAGAGAATCTAGGGGTTAGTAAGTTGGCAAAATTTAGGTGAATTCTCACAACAAAGACAAAAAAACCACTCACGACTCCCCTCTCAGTTAGTTCCCATACTTCTGAACAAAATAGTACAAGAACACTTTACGAACATTTTTCCTTAGATTTACTTTCATAAATGAAGAAATATTTTTAGCATAAATGTAAAAAATACATATTCTACAGAGAGTTGGTGGAAAATTTCAGACCAAAGAGCTTAGGTTTATCAGAATTAAGACGAACAGAAAATACGACTTTTTGAAGTTTCTGATACAAGTTAATAAGCACGATCATCTTTTACTACACTTAATGGAAAGCAAAAACTGTAAAGAAAGCTCAACTAGTATCTATACCGTTTCCTGGTACCTCAGTGGCTGAAAAAAGCAGTTCTGGAGTGCTCAAAAATACAACGTGTTTTACATCCCTCTCAAATGCTATTCCTCTAGTTGCTTCACAGAGGGTCTGGAAACTACCTCTCTGAGCATTTCTGGCAATACATGAACACATCAACCATAGCTGAATCCACATGAATGCTTTAGAACACATCTGCAGCCTTCCTCAAGTCAGGCTTGCACTCTGCACATACAACCAGAGGCACAGCAAGCTATCGTAAGCTCACAAACATACATAAAAAAAAACAAACCCAACTTCCTCTTGCAGCAAAAAAAGTTTTATTACTTAGCTGTGTAGAAAAGCTCCATTACTTAGCTGTGTAGAAAAGCTCATTCATAATCAGTTGATAAAGTGCAACTACTAAACTGAAAAATACCAAAACCAGTCTAGTTTGCTGCCAATATTCTGTGAAATTATTTCTGAAAATTTCACTGCCCCATGCTATATCCTAGCGTGTGCAAAGCATTTTGAAAAGAAAAAAAAAAAAAATTCACCTTTCTACACCCTCCCAGGTAAGGAGATAAAACCCCTGGTGCAGAAAGTGAACTGAGCAGTCAAAGCTGTGATGTGTATCAATCCAGGATTAATGTTCCTGACTCATATTATGTTCTGCTCATGTTCCTGATCACAGTCTTGCATTTGTTCTCTTGACAAACAGAAAGTAATAATGACAACAAATACAAATAAAGCTGCTTAATCTCCATGTGCCTTCATTTTCTCATGTGCAAATTGCATATAATGATTTTCAAAACATAGGTGTGGAGCTTTGCTTAAGCCAGTGGAGGAAGGGCATCATAAATCCAGACAGTTTAGAAAACAAGTCAGTATGAAAGATGCTAGGTAATAGATACAGACTTTATCAAAGTGTAAACAGTGACAACTCACAAATATTTTATGAGTAGTGAAGGCATAGCAGGTGTTTCTGCACTTAACCCAAATCCTGGTGTGAAAAGGATGAGAGAGAAGCCCAGACGAAAAACTCTGTATGATGTTCTGGCTTCTAAACCAACAAAGATGACAGGGATTGCAGGCGTGGTTGGGCACAGGTAGGTGACTGCTCTGTTGAAAACAAAATCCTACCATACAGAGCTAAAATACAACATTCTAGTCCATGTATTATAAAAAATGTTCCTGAACAAAGAGTATATCTCTTCAAGGGAACTGAAAATATTAGCAACATTCCTACAGTAATATCACAGAAGTTGCATAATTACTACCTTTTCACTGCAGACATACAGTAGATAACAGAACAGTTTCCACAGAGAAGAGTGAAAATCAGTCAAATCATTGCACTATCTACACACAGAAACCAAAAATGTACTTTGAAACCGGGTCTCCTTTTGTTTTTCCTTATGCACTTTTTTCTGGTGTCAAAAAGCCATCTTTTATTCATACAGGAGACTAAGAACAGAATCAGTCTCAGAGACTCAGTGAATTACCTTAATAATACACAATATATACCGCAAAGGAATATAAACTTGAATGCTCATTCAGTGTCTGTTCTTGCATGTATTTGCAAGTAGAACTTAAATCTAAAAACAGTTCCTAAATCTAGGTAATAAGCCAAATAATTCTAAAGATCAAACTAGTCCCATAGAACTGGTAAAAACAAATGTCCAGGCTGGAAATGAACTCAGTACCACCTGAAACCAAAGTGGAAATCAGAATAAAGATCCTTTAAATACACTATTAGCATTGGTACATTATACACCCATAGGTTTACAGAGAGCATTAGAAAAAAATAAAAGAGCATTCTAGCTCAAAGTACTTAATGCCACTGAAAGTTACCTATATGCAAGCAAAGAGGAATATTTGTTCCCTTCTTCTTTCTTCCAGTAACTCCTGCTACCTGCATTATACTTTGCACTCACATCGCTTTTTCATTCACTAACATGTGACCTTGGCTCATGTCCTTCATGTGAATTCACCGAAGGTCAGAGATGGTGAGAAAAGATTTGCTCATAAAGACGACTATTTTGTCAGATAAAACAAAAAACAGTAGAGATTTTACTCAGATAAGTAGTCTTGACTGTCACTCTTTGAGCCTCTTCAAGTGTTTTTTTCCCCATGTCATTCTCCTCCAAGGTCAAATTCCATGATCAGACTAAATATTCCATGATTCAGTCTTTAATGCTAAAGGAAGAGATGGCTCAGAGTAGTCTCATACATATAGTGTACAACAGGATGACTGTACTGCAGTTTGTCTTAGGAATTGCTCTAAGGACAGCTGATATAAATATTTTGGATTTTAGGTGTCCAGTTTTCCCACTGAAGTGTAAGTTTTCAACAAGAAACTTTACAGGAGAAAAAAAATAGTTAAAAACTTTGTTTACCACTTAAAAAACACTTTGAAAGTTTTCAACTGATCTTTTACAATACAGTCCTAGAGTTGTGAACCATTTACATATGAATATTGATTTATAAAAGTACATTTGTTATTCAAGTATTTTCTACGAAGTCTGAAATAATACACAACATAAACACATTACAATTTTTGTATTTTTATCAGCCAGTTGTTATTCCTTTCCACTATGTATGACTGAACAGTTGTGACATGGTACAGGCTGTCTCTCCCAGCCCGGATACCAAAAATTATTTTAAACAGACAAATAGCAATTCCGTGTATTTTTTTGCATGAATAATCAGTCTGGCTGAAACTGCTGGACCTCAGGGATGCATGAAGGAGACTGTACTAGTTAAAAAAAAAAAGAAATACACTAATCTTATAGTTTAAAACTAACACGAATGAAACCACCTCTCTGTTCTCTACCTGACATGCAAGTATCCTGGTGATTGCCAGAATGGATTTGGGAATGTAAATGAATTCTGATGCTTAAGGAAGAACAACTCTGAGAGCCATATAAAGTGCAAAAGAACCAAGGTCACCTTTCAGTTAGTTAAACAGACAGACAGGCTGATTGTGGAATGATCCTGCTACATGACCCAAATAACTCCAAGTGATACTCCATAGATGTGCCCTGAGAAACAGGAACTAAAACACTAATTTAACTTCTGCTTGAAACTAATTCAGATTTAACTCACAAAACAGTATGTCGATTATATGCCAGCTCCTGCAAAACATCACTCTGCTCTAACAATGAGAGAAGGTAATCAGCTCTTTGCTGGAGGCATTTCTGACGGACAGTCATCATTCCAGATTCCACAGCTATGATGCCATCACATTCTGCTGACAGCACAAATACATCATTCCACCTTCACCCATTATTTTTTAGTTTTCTTCAAGATGCCTGTGGCCCTGAAAGCTTAGCTTCTCTTTAGTAACAGCTGGAGCTGAGTACACACAGGTTGGAGTCTGAGAGCTTGGCATCTGTGTCAAACTTCCCCTTGTGTCAATGAACAGATCAAACAGAAGTACAGAACTTCTGAATTTCAAGTGAACCTAAATGTATCAGCCAGAATATATACATAGTGATTCTTTTAAAAAAAAATACAGAAACCAGCTTCCTGTTGCTTGCCTTGCCACAGCTGGCTTATGAAGAAGGTTTTCTGCTATATTATCACTTTTCCACAATAAATATGCAACTTTAATCTCCCAAACAGCAAAGACTGAATAAATAGTAGAAATCATTTTCAATTAGCCAAAACACACATAAATATTTCAGTTTGTAGAAACTTGTACCTTTTTCATTGGAGGAATAAGGAACATTTATGAACTGCAGTAAAATATACCGTTCTTCACATCAGTAAACGACTACCAATGTGGATCAGAGAAATAAAATATCCTCCAAAGAACACCTCTACAAACTGACGTGGAGGGAGTGGTGCATCAGGACGAGTACAAAATAAGCTTCGTAACAATACTGACGCTTCTAAAACTGATTACGATGCACCAAAATGGAAGTGTGTGGAGGCTGTAATCAGGAGGAAACATCACTACAGAAACATTGCCCAGGCATGCAGGAATGGAAAGTTAAAACTCAGTTGGAACTGAAATTGGTGAGCAACGTGAAGAGCCACAGAAAGGGCTTCTACAGGTAGCCAAAAGGAGAACCAAGAATATCATGGGCAACTTCCTGATATAGGACATGAAAAGGACTGATGTACTCAGTGCCTTCTTCACCTTGGTCTTTACTGGGAAGATCAGGCTTCCTAGGTTTCTGTGCCTAGTGGCAGGTGAGAAGTTTTACCTACAACAGTAGAGGAAGATCAAAGTAGGGACCACTTACGCAAACTGGACAAAAAACGCTAGTGGGCCCATATGGGATGCTTCAGAGTGCACACTGAGAGATCAGGCTAAATTCATCACAAGGCTGCTCTCCATCATCTTTGAAAAAGCATGGCAATCTGGTAAGGTTCCCATGACAGGAAAAAGGCAAATGTCACACCTGTCTTCAAAAAGGGGAAGAAAGAGGCTTCAAATAACTAAAGGCCAATCAGGCTCACCTCAGTCCATGGAAAGGCTATAGAACATCTCCTAGAAATCGTTTTGAGCTATAAAATGGTGACCGAGACAAGACAGAATGCACAGACTTGATTTGGCCTTGCTAAGTCCAACAAAACTGTCTTCCATGACGAGATGACTGGCTCTGAGATAGGGAGAACAGTGGCGTGTTGTTTACTTTACCTTTAACAACATCTCCCCCCGCATCTTTGGAAGGTTTGGACTGGATGTTGGAGTAACAGGTGGATGAAAAATTGGCAGCATAATTAGTCTTCAAGAACAGTGGTCAACATTTCTAAGTCTAGCTAGCAGTCAATTACAAGTGACATTCTTCAGGGGTTAGTCCTGAGAATGATACTGTTTAATGACTGCATTATTGTCTTGGACAATAGAATGCACCCTCAGCAACCTCAAAGATGACATCAAACTTGGGGAACTGGCCGACATGCCAAAAGGTAGGGCTGCCATTCAGATGGACCTTGGCAAACTGGAGGTATGGGCTGACATAAGCCTCAAAGCTTGACAAGGCTGAACATAAGTCTTGCACTCAGCGGTAGGATAACCCCACGCAACAGCACAGACTGGATGCCAGCTGGCTCAGCAGAAAAACCCCTGTGGTTCCTGGTGGACAAGTTGAATGCGAGTCAGTAGTATGTCCTGGTGGAGATAAAGGCTAACTACATACTGGGCTGCATTGGCAAGATTATAGCCAGCAGATCAAGGGAAGTGATTATTTCCCCCTACTCAGTACTCATGAGGGTGAACCTGAAGCAGCATGCAGCTTTGGAAGCCCCAGTGCAAGAGAGAGATCGTCACAAATTGAAGCAAGCCCAGAAGAGGAACTCCCAGATGGTCAGGGGCCTGGAGAAGCCCTCATACCCATGTATGAGAAGCCCTTAAAGGAGCTGAGTTTCTTCAATCTGGAGAAGAGAAGAATGAATCTAACTGCAGTCTGCCACAGACTGAAGGGGGGCACTATAAAGAAGACAGATTCTTCTCAGAGGCACACAGCAGAACAGGAGGCAACGGATATAAGCTGCAGAAAGGAAAATTATTGCTAGATAAAGAAAAATAATGTCACAATATGCAGGTGACTCAGCCTAAGAAAAGGAACTGAAAAGCTGTGTAATCTCCATCCTTGGAGGTTTTCAAAACTCAGCTGAACAGAGTCATGAGCAGAAAGCTGGACTAGTTGTTTTCCAGTGGTCTTTTCCAACATAAATTATTTTGCAATTCCATCAGTATAAAACCAGCATGAATGAGTTCTCTCTTAACTTTACACTGGTTTTAAGCCAATATAATGCTTGCTGCCAACAGTAAGGTTACTCTGGATTTACATATGCATTAGAAAAACCAAAATCTGGACTGGTTCCACAGGAATGGGCTTCTATACATTGGGGGAAAAAAAATGGGGGGAAAATTCCAGAATAACCCAGGGTCCTCATTAGGCAAGTTTACTCCTGAGGGTGCAGAACACATCCATCATAAAATGAGAAAGACAGTTCTGCACAACTAGAAAACATCAGAATCTCCTTCTTTTCTCTTGATATACAAAACAGACCCTCTGCAACTAGACACTGAGCTTCCTTCTCCTGAAAGATTTTTGGGAGGAGTTTTTGACATTCAGTCCTCACTTTACCACTCAGCATCTGCATAGCTGTATGATGTTTCCAAGGCAAACACTTCTCATTTAAATGGGTAACAAGTAGTGCCACAGATTCCCAAAGTCAAATAAAAGACAAAGGCTAACTTGAATTGTAAGCTCCTGATTCATCAACTTAGAAACATACCTAAACTCAAATAAAGGAACTGCTTAATTAAAATGGATAGGGTGTGACTTGTGTTTGCAGGAAAATTATGATGGAACAGCTGGAACAGCTTCTACCCTCAGTTGTTCATCTCACCTTTCTTCCAGAGGCTGTGGTCACCTCTGCAGGAGTGGCTGAATGGCATGTGCATTTCTTCCTGAGCACTGTGGTTTACAGCCCAGCATATTACTCTAAACTGCAGCCAGCGGCAACCTCTGGGAGAGAAGCAGGGTAGATAGCTGACAGCAGTAACCAGCGTCCTAGATAAATTCTTAGAAAAATAGGTCAGAGCTTTCATGAGCACACAAGCAAGTACTCCGCAGAATCACAGCCTCAGTAATAATCTACATATACAATTTGCGTCTCAGTTCAATAAAATACTCTGAACTTGAAACAGGAGTTAGTTATCACCTTTATCCATCCAAATTTATTTCCTGCTTACTGAAAAACAAAAAGCAAATGCCTAGCAGTTTAATTCTTGGAAAGAAACCTATTGCATATCAAAGAATTACCTTTTTAAAATAAATATATATGCATACAGGTATATATTTATATGTACGTATAAGTCTGCATGTGAGATTCCTACATAGATCTGTCATTTCTTCAAAATCCACTTGCAGTCACTGCTTCAATTGTCCCATAGAACAAATATTCCCTGTTTAAAAGAGCAAATTTAGATACCAGTAGCAGCCTCACTGAGGCGACAGGGAGCTCCCTCAGGGCTGCAAACCTTCCGAAGACCCTCGGAAATTTCTGCTAGTAAGCCTCCTTTAAGGCACATGGTAGCACAACTAGGTTAATTTACCCCTGCAATTGGTTTAAAATTACAGTAGTATGCGTATGCTACAATGCAACACAGAACTGACCAAAGCACAGATATTCCTTTACAGTCTCCAGATATTACAGAGTATGCCAAATCCTCAATGGTTGACAGCTGGTAAGAAGGCTGTGATGCCAAATGTAACACAAGAATTGGTATCATTTTCCATGGGATCAGGCTATTTTTCACTTATATATAGTAATAGTCTCAAATACAGACAAAAACTGGGAGAAACTACTGAATTCATGCAAGTTTACAGAAAGGCCCTGAAAATTTCCCAGCTGCCCTGATTCACTTCAGTTTAATTTTATTTTTGGCTGCCTCTCATTATCCCAGCCCTGAAAAATTGTCAGTCATAACTTGCTAGAATAGACACAAAAATTACATTTAAAAAATTATAAGAAGAGCTCAAATTTCCAAGGATCATCTTTTACATGCTTACCCGTTGGCTCTATGCCTTCATCTTGGGTCTCCTCCAAATGAGGCAGCAAATCTCTGCAGACAGCCTGTGCATCTGTAAAGGTTCTAAAAGAAAATATACCTATTAAAAAGTTATCCAGGAGTGCTAGTAGGATTCACTGCAATCAACATACAATATATCCAAGGGAAAACAAAAACACAGGTTGCAAGCACTTAGAAATACAAACAGGAGAAAATAGAAAGCTCAGAGGAACAAAGAACGTTTTGCCTCTGTTGCAAACTCCACTACAATCGGGTTAAACAGGGAAATGCATTCACCCTAAGGATGACATTCTTACTCCATACAGTGGACTTTTTGTTTCAACATCATGGTATATACCAGATGGAGACACTAATTTTGAATCTCGACAGAGAGGCCATGAACCATGAAAGTATAAAGAATGAATTATCAACCTTAAGCTTGATCATACCACCACTGTACTAATACAACAATACCTTGTATGTTGTTACTGTTGATACCTGTTGAAGCTCTGAGGTTAGGGGGGTTTTTTTTGTTGTTGTTTGGTTGGTTTTTTTAAGGCTCAGAAAAGGAGATTTAGTTCTAATAATAATAATAAAGTTTCTCAAGAACTTCACCAAAGTAGACACATTATCATTATCACTATCACATGGGTGAAATTAAACCTTTCTTGGCTTAAACTAACCAGATGAAGTTTAAAGCACAGATAATAAAAACTCAGAAACAGAAACTCTGTAAGGTAACAGACTGCAAAGGCTTATATGAGCAAAAAATCTAAACAATAACTAAGCATTTAGAAATTACTGACTGCATAAAGCAATGCACTGCAGATTATTCATGAATAGCAGCATTCAGGTTTTTTAATTTAGCTGATTTCATTTAATAGAACAAGGGGTGGAAATCAGCAGCCCTCAGAGCCCAAGAATAAGTTTGGATTACCTTCATTCCCTCTCAAAACGTGCAACAGAAGAGTCCTGAGTGAAACTCAGGAAGTCCTTCCCCTCCACAGTATAATAAACTAACTCAAAACATAGAAAAAGAAAGTCCAAACAATGCCCTTCCCAGCTTCCCAATAAATAACAAACAACTTCAAAAGCATTTTTTTTTACACAGCAGTGTCAGGTAGCAAACAGTAGGACCAAACACTATGTCAGATGTTATTTCCTACCTCATATTAACAACTACATTTTGCAGAATACCTGTATGGGGGGCACTCCTAGAATTTATTATTGTTATCCACAATGAAATCACACTTGAAGAAAGCCTTAACCAAGCTGGATCCCTTTTGCAAGAATTTAGCAGATTTTGTAATTCTTCACCCATCAAAAGTGACAACTGCAGTTCATTTCCTCCCTTGCTACTACTATGCTGCAGATCTCCGTGTCTCAGAGCAGAGGTACAGGTCGCAAAAGTGATTGAAGGAAAATGAGGAGGCATCACTAACCTTGCCTGCAAGGATATTTCCTCTCTTGTTAATGGCATAATGGGACAAAACATGAAAGGGCTTGTCTGATAAGCAGAGAGTTAGGCTCTGAAAATAGTCACTGGCTTGGTGAAAGCAGATGTTGATGAGAAACTGAGTAATTTAAATATAGAGGGGGATTATACTGCATCTTGAAAGGTAAGTCTGTGTTTGAGATATGGGAAAATGGTGACTTAATGAAGTGGGATGGCGAGGACAGAATGACAGACCAGGAAGACATACTTGGGAATAAACCCAAAACATCTGAAATAACTTAAACACATGTGTTTGTCTGCCATCTCAAACACTTAATAGTTCTTGAAATTTTCCCTATTTTAAAGAAAAACCACATTTGATGTTTAGAAATCTAGTGCAATCTCTTCCTTTAAATATCTTTTGAGTACTGAAGCTTTTTAAATTTTTATTATTTTACAAAACAAGTCTTAGTCAAAAGATAACTGAATGTTACTCTTACCTAAAATTAATAGTAAAAAAGTCAGAAGAAGAAAACAGATCTGATCAGTAATACATCAGAAGAGCCTCCTATGCGTCTACTCAAAACTTTTTAATAATAATCACTAATGACTTTTCCCAGATGAAAATCTCATTAGTTTTCTTTATTCTCATCCAGCTGTTATAGGATACCGGTTCAGTTTATATTATGTTCCCTTAATAGAAAATTAATCAACCAACAAGTTAGTAATGCTGCACACAAAGTAGTTGTTACCTGCTTCTATGGACTAAGCAGTCAATTTGTGAGTTGGGTTTTTCTTGTCCTGAATGTACAATTAAGAAATTTTCTCTCTCATCCACAATTTATGTGTATATTTACAACCATCCCTTCTGAGTTAAAGAATATGTTTTTAATGTTTAGTCTTAGCTTTTGTTAGGAGTTATTCCTTTAAAAATTAAGTAAAGATCCAAAAACGGTTATGTTATCTGGAATTGTTCAAGTAAGACTGAATCGAGCAGAATTTGGTGGGACTGCTTGATCAAGAACTTACTGACCATACTGCAGCAAGGAGAAAACGCACTGCAGAATTACGGTTTCATGGTGAGATGCCCCAGCAAAACCAAAGTGCTTTGGAAATCTGGACTTTGGTTTGCTGAAGTCGTTATTAAGGCTGAGGTTCTGCATAAATTATTTGATGTTATTAGTGCAGGGACAGCATGTTCCAAAATCCAACTACCAGTTTAAAAGGGGATTTTCTACATCCGATTTTTGTGTTAAATAAAAAAGTTTATGATTCCAAAGGTAATATGCAAAAACCTCTACGAAGCACACACACAGGATTTAATAGTAGACGTCACTTTAGCAAGCCAATTAGAACAAACTGAGTTCAGGTTACACAATGTTGACCAGCTAGAACTAAACAAAGCACACTTCTGTGTAACTCTATTAGCAAGAGTGGTTTTTGAATGACACTATTTCCTGATGTAATTTGGGATTTAATTTCAAGGTACCATTCTATCAAACATGACCTCATCCGCTGCCTGAATTCAATGCACACACACACCCCTTTCACCTGAGACGGAGGCACAGCACGCTCAGGCTGACTGGCTTATCCAGAGGTTTGGGGCAAATCCTAATGTAGCACAACTCGCTTACAGCTACCACCACTACTCTGTGCCAGTTAGATGTTGTATCATACTGTTCTCACGCATCAGGCCTACCTAAAAAGCGAGAATTTGAACATTCTCTATATTGGATTAACAAAGGGCAAGTTTCCTTTCCTCTTTGTTTCCAAGATTGTAACAGCTCTAGTGAGATTTATCTTTGCAAACCAGTAGAAGTAATGCATGCGCAACTGATATTATAATGGTAAAATAATGACTGATGTAACTGACAGTCCTTATTGCTGGTGATGATTCACCAGAAGCAAAGCATCCAATCTGAAATTGCTGGTGTAGCAATTACTTTTTTTAACTAAATGTTTTTGATGGAAACCAATGAATAGAGTACCATTTCTTATCATAACTACAGAAACTAAATGTAACGGCTAAATCTCTCCACTTCTATCATTATGAAATGGCAGTGCTCTTTTGAAGTTACACATTAGAAAAACCTTTTTCTGTCACCATAATGATAACAAGTGTCTGATTAACGGCACTACTTGCTGTGATACTAATTTCTGTAATTTTTTAGTTTCAAGGGACTTTGGAATTGGCCTTTTCCTTCTACAGGCTCTATGTTTCCTTCTCTGGTAACTGGAATTTCTGCTTACATCTCATACTCTAGGTCAAATACAGTCAGATATTTGCTGTCCTCTAAATTCTCTCCTCATATTAAAATCTTGTGAAAATACTAAGAATAAAACTGAAAAGAATCTATAAAGTCAGTCTTTAATATGATAATGAACCAATGATTTCTATGGAGAAAACATTTAAAAGAAATTCTCACTTCAATAAGCCTCAGAGAATACACAGATTTTCCTATATAATTAGACTAGAACCTTTTCTCTCAAATTTAAAAACTATGAACTTTATGTTGTAGGGTTCAATATTTTTTTACCTTAATTCTGCAGAGTGATTTCCAAGATCACAAACTGCACCAATGGAATATGAACACTGTTATGCAGCAGTCATATTATCATGAGATTTAAGGGGAAGCTATTCGTTAAACTGATTATGTATAGTGGCAAATAAAAAGACATCTCTCATTCTTTTTGTATTCTTATTCTTTATCACTGTTGTTCAACTCCTGTAGTTTTGTCAATGTTAAATTTTTACCAGTTGGCTCTCTTACATGGCTTATTAGAATTTTAAAAAATAAACCAGCTTTCTCTAAACTTGCAAAAACAAGCGGTTTATCAAATAACTACATATGTATATTGTTAATACATTATTCAGTACAAGGTATTCCTTTAGACTTCAGGATATTTACTCATAACCCTTTATATACGCATAGCAAGTCAAAGTACTTCAAGTCTAGAAATTACATTCACAACTACTCATAAAAAAAGACTTAAACATTTTTTTTTTTCAGTTAAAACAGTCAGTAGTTCAAGCTATGCATTTATCCAGAGTATCCTACCTTAGCTTCCAGACCTATGCTGTCTGGATTCACAATGAAGCTACCATCTCCTCCTCCCTTTCCTGGTATTTCTAACACAGAGGCTTCTCCCATTACACAGCTGCTCCACTCACCTTGTTCCTCGATAATGTTGTGCCATATGTGTGGGCTCACCAAACAGTGAAAATATTTTTATTAATAAATTTTATTCTGGTTTAATATATGGAAAATGTTTACTGTTGAAGATACTGCATTCATATATTATCAGATAAGTTGAGATTAATGTGATGCCTAATTTTAGAACAATATTTTCAAGGTGCAAAGCTATGGCTATGGTCAACCATGTTACTGCAGTTCCTGTCTGCTTAGCTTCCAAAGCTTTTTTGATGAACTATTGCATGATTTTTGTTATTTCGTTCCTTCAAAATAAATTATGCTGCAGATTGTCTACAACAAAGAACACAGCCAATAATGAGGAAATGCTCAGTTACAGTGTCTGCTGAGTGCATACAGTTTCTCTGTCACTTACAGGCTTTTTCCAAAAAGCAATCTATTTAGCTTCTCCTGGGAATGTTCTCCTACCACTGCTTCCAGACTCAATGGCTCTCAGGAAGGCTCACTTGTGTTTTGCCCACACTGCGATGATCCAAAGCAGTGCAGCTCCTTCATCCGCTTTGCTGTTCCTCTGAGCATATCATTTACAAGCTCACCCACCAGGCTACTTTCAAGTGGCAGTAAGCATGTTACTACACATTTCTTACAACACAGTCTCCACCTTATAATTAAACTCCTTTCTCTGCTTGCCTTGCCCAAAGAAATATTCTGTAATATGCAGGTGTTTATCTTAGGGAGCAAGGCATACAAATGGGGATTTGCACAAGTACTTTTTTTCTCAAACACTTTTGTTGAATTGGCTTGCCTAGCTATTAAATATGAATCTTGTTTAATACACAAAAAATAGACTGAACTGGAAAATATGCATTTTTTTTCAAAGGCGGAACTTCTTCATAAATTTTATTTTAGTCTTTCCCTGCTTGCTTCTCCTGAGGATGACTGGGTAAATTTCATCTCTAAACTCCTACAGCTTGTTTAAGTAATCATAATAAAGTATTTGAAAAAAATCCTTCTTCCAACCAGTGTGCATCTTTTGCTGCTTCATTCCTTCTGACAAGTGTCCTAAATATTTATCTCTGTTCTAACAATGGGAACTCTTTTTTTTCCCCTAAGCTTTTGTTACATGTTCTCCAGGACAACCCAGGTATACACATTCCATCAGCCTTAATCTACATTAGAGCTGCTTTTGGTAGCATGTCTTGGGTCTACATCTGCACATACCAATGTACTTTTCATTGGGTGTTAGGCATTTTCAAGAGCTCACTGGGGCATTTGAATTCAAGATGGAATCATTAAGTAATCATCTGACAACTATTCTGGCAGCAAACAGCGATGGCTTAAATTACCCATGGGTACCTCTGAAAACTTTACTGATTCTGGAACTTTGCCTAGAAACTTTGGAAACTAAATATCTTCATCTGGATCCCATTCATGAGTAATCCTTTCCCAATTCCCCATGCATCCTGCAAGTGCTGAATCCAATATTTTAAACCAGAGCTCTGGGGAGAGGTTGTAGGAGTGAGCGTAAGACAATAAATTTAAAATCACAGATCTGTCCTAGAGAAAGACAATAAAGTCACTCTGACTTAAATCAACACAGCAACATAGTACCAAAGCTTTGATAGCTCAGCAGCTAAACAGAAATCTGTGACTAGCACATAAATAGCCAAGTAGTGAATACTACATCTCCAGACTCTGAGGAGCTGTGAATTGTTACCCAAGACATTTTGAAGATGTTTTCTCATTTTCTATGGCATAAGGAAAAAAAAAAAAAAACCCACAGTAATTACATACATTAGTTCTTTACCTAATTTTGTATTACATGTAAAATTCTTCCTATATTAAGAAGCAAAGTAGACAGTCACAAGAGGTCCTTGTGGTCCTTTACAGGGACATTGCTGTCTTATTATGACTGGTTGTCTTATTTACTAATTATTCCTCTGTTCAAATTAGGGCAATATTATAACACATTCCTTATTCGGTCTATTTAAAATTTCCCTTTGTCCTCGAAGAACAGGTTAGATTTAGGTTTTAATTGGTTTTCATGCCCTCATGAGACTTAAAAAGGGGGCCACAAATCAGCCCAGGTATGTTCCTACTCTTGCAAAAAGGGTCAGCTGATTCAACAATCACTTTGCTTTTCACAGTGCACAAGAAACCAGGCTTTCTCAAATTACTCATATAACTTCTTACCGCACGAAGGTATATTGAAAAGCAACACAAATGCTTAATAAAGAACAAAATACTAAAGATAAAGTTAACAGCTGACACCTATTTTACCATATAACACAGTTGGCACACACCTTCTAGTAAAACCTATCTCTTTACTTGCAAAAAATAAAACTAAATTTTTTTTTTTCTTTTGTTAGGACTAAACATCCTCAAAAATCAGGCCATTTATTTTGGTAAGCAGATCGGTTTTACAGATAGCTGAGAACTATGTGGGTGAATGGAAAGGAATGAACAATGTGTCCAGCCTCTTTTTATTCCCCCCCCCAAAAAGGTTCCATTCAGCAGTTGGAGTGTACTATAACCCTTCACTGACCTTGGTACGGATTTTCTGGCTCTGTTCTCCCCTGCACAGCAAAATCCCAGACCTGAAGCTGAAATCTCCAGTAGCTGCCTCTGTATGGCTATTTGCAGGGAATGCAGCAAAGTTAGGCCACACACAATTCATTATTTCATCTCTTCATTTTTTAGGTCACACTGATTCAATTTCAGCCTTATGAGAGGTCTTTTTTTCCTCCTTCCATTTTGCTAGAATTGTATTTTCTCTATCTACTCCTTTCCACCTGGAATCCTACTTCCAGCATACAAAAAAGGTATATAAAGTTTGCTACCTAGCTTCAAACCACACCAGGTAAACAACACTATTTAAACAGGACAACATGCACTGACTTCTTCAAAAAACTGTTAACAGAAGTATTTACGCCAAGGACTTTGAATGCATCAAAAGTATTTGGAGTTCTAGTCTCTGTGATATTCCTTCAACAGAAATTCAGAAACAAACCAAATGCTAACTAAAACAGGAGGCTTAAATTTCCTGTTTGCAGTGGGTGCAAACCACCATATATTTTTGAATTCTCTTTTAGTTGGTTTTTTTTTAATTAAAAAAAAAAATCAAAACTTTTTTTTGCTTAAGCATGTCACAAATAGAAGCATACATGGACTAAAATAGAGGCATTATTACTAATTTAGCAAAATCCTAACTTCCATGAGTCAGTGTGTACATATACCTTTATTGATCACAAGTCAAACACTGGTTTATGATCTTTGGACAGATTAAATAAAAAAATATCTGCATTAGGACTCCAGAAGCAACAACAACAAGAAAACATTAAAAAGCTTTCAAAGATCTCTTAAACATTTTTCTTTTCCAAAAACATTCAGTCTACAGTTTGCTCATAATGATGCTTATCCAGGATTACAAAACCCTCAGCAGAAGAAACCATTAGGATAAAAATGATCCCAGAAAAGTAAGAATCTACCTGATAGTTCAGTCTCTGGGAATGGATAATTAGTACTCAGCAATATTGACAAACTTATAATAACCAGAAGATAAAATATTTCCTGTGAGATGTGTTGTTCTATTCTAAAAACAGGTATTCCCACAAACTCTAGAGATGGGTAGCTTTCTCTAACAGAACATACCATTCTAGTGACAGAGTAACAGGAAAAATAAAGTACGTTTCCCTTTTGTGCTGCCTAGAACAGAAAGAAGACAGGAGCCAGCACGGTTATCTTACGTGTAAAAAGGTAATATAGACCCTAAAACAAACTCTTCTAAAATTAAGTTTCCTAGTCCATGCTCTAAGATATGGGTTACCTGGTTAAGTTCTGTTGCCTTTGATGGGAAGAAGATGCTCAACCACAAAGGCAAATTATCATCTAAGGATTATTCCCCCAAATTCAGGAGGGAAAAGAGACCTACTTCCATAGCTGCAGCTAGGGTATTTTTGAAAGTCCATTCAAAGTAGATTATATGCATTGTAATATGTGCAGAGCAGATGGTACTGAACTTCTAGAGTCTTCAGTGCTGCTCTTACCATCAGAGACACGTGAAGGGATGGTACAGGAGCACTGACTGGTTTTTTTCTTGACTATGAAAACTGCTATTTTCTGGTATTTGAGAATGCCTATAATCTCACCACATGGTTGAAATTTCATTAGTCATTTAATTTACTGAAGCATAAGAGTCTAGTAGTTGACCAGTATTTTTGCTAGCATTCCATGTTTTTGCTAAGCTGTGAGCAGCTGAGCCACAGGAGCTAAGCATACCTCTTGTCGGAACTGTTACATGTGAACTTCTCCCGAGCCCCCTTCTGGGGCTAAGAGCCTCTGTGCTATAAAATGAATGCTATACAACTAGATATATGCAAATAGGACACAAGCAACATAGTCCATACTGAACAATGCTATTAACGCCAAACTAGAAGCTAGCATAGGAGAATAAATCCATTTAGAAGCGTCATTACAATTTTCTCTCATTCTAGTCTCAAAAGATACACCTTATTCTGCATTAGACAGCAGACACACCATTAGTCAGACAAGGTTCTCGTGGATCTGCACAGTAGTAGAAGACAAACATGTTGTGAAAAATTGTTAAATCAGTTTGTTAAAATAATTACTCAAGCTACTTTACCCATTTTCATAGCTTTCTGAAATATTCATTGCATTTTCATCTTGTAATTTTTTCGCAAGAGTCTCTCCACTGTTAGGCATGCTGACAAACCCTCTAAAGCTGGTCACAAATATGCTAAATAACTCTGTGGGTCAGGCATAAATAAGCTACTTGGACAAGTGAAGAAACCAGCAGTAACTGGTTATTTGTTAAAAAAAACCCAACACGTAATACAAGAGGAGGAGACTAAAGATACAAAAGCTATTTCTTTCTGATTTTAACATGCTTGAAATGTCGCAGTGCCTGTGAGCTGCTTACTGTTAAACTTTCCTTTTAATTCAGTTTTCTTTAATTATGCATGAGAAGAATTTTAATGAGTCTACAATGCTTTAAGATGCAAATCTTTTCTTTTGCCAAGATTTCCAACAAATTTGTTTACAGAAGTTGAAGCAATTCTAATTTTATTAACTCTAGTTTCAAAAAAGAACATACAATGTAGTTATTTTCTTAAAGAAAATGCAGATTAATTGCATTAGGAAGTGCCTTCAAGTCAATTATACCTATGAAACCCAGTACTGCAACAGCCAAATACCTCCTCCAGCATCACGACAACACCAGCACTTCATCGACTTCACCAAACCAGGCCTATCATATACTGTAGAAGTTTCTACACATGACTAAACAAATTACTTCCCAAGATGTAAGAGTCTAGTTTAGCTACTTAGGCTATTTCTATACTAGCAAACAAAAAAGATCCAGGGAATGATTCAAGCCACCCACTGTGAGCACCTTCCCTGGAATGGTTTTGGTCTGTGTGAACTAGCATTGCCCTACACCAGTGGATAACCCAGGCCAGGGGCTGTTACTGTGAGATGATGTTAGTGACTACCCTGTCTGGAGGAGGAAGACAGGGATGCAAGGTGTGCCATGCCATTTGCCTTCAGAGCCAGCGAACATGATCTAGAATGTTTTATTTAGTGATACAAAGACAGCCACAGTGATTAGGAAAATGTAAGGCTAGTAAACATCTAACTTTATAGAAATATGTGAATTTTATTCCAGAGTATTTTGCACTATATCCAAATGCCTAATTATAGATAATGCAATTTGAAATGAAAGGAAAAGAAAGAAAACTTCACAGTGGGACTCTAAGGGGACTATTCTCACACCAGAAACTTGCTTTGAAAATATGTGAACACAGAACAGGGGATACTTCAATGGTAAAAATGTGTCATCTTATGCAGCGAAGATCCATTTTTGTCAGGATTGATTTAGTTCCCTCATTTTGGGATAATTCTCCAAATTTCCACTTTGTTCCAATGATTCTTTGCAGAAAGCCAACAGGTATCTTCCATGGGCTTGCAACTAGCTTTCCAGAAATATCATAAAGAAAAAAACAGGATTAAACTCTGTTATTCCAATGTTTTTTTTCTTCTTCTAGTTATCTAAAATGTTTTATGTGCTATGTTATATGAAGGAATTCAATTAGACGACCACCAATTACCTTTCTTGGGTTGCATCTTGGGTGTTGAGTGGCTAGGCTGGTCTCATGGAAGGAAAATGGCTGTTAATTCTCTAAAACTTGTACCTTCAGCAAATAAACAGAAAAACTCAAACATACATCTCTTCTATACATACTGTGTTTAGAAAGGATTTGTTTGTTTGTTCTGTTTTTCATATAATCTTCCTTAAACTAACTGATGGTTACAAAATTATTTTGACACAATCAAGTATTCTCCAATGCTAAATCACTCCCCTAGTAACAAAAGTGTCTGCAGGGCAGCCAGGCTGTGAAGCAAGGGGAATTCATCTGGGGGGACTAGTGGAGAAGAGTTGCGTTTGGACTGTATATTGTTTGACTGTAATAGGAAAGTCACATGACTCTGCTAAACTGTAAGTTTCCTGCAATTGTCAGCTACAAACAGTCCTGTCATTTTAATGATAGACTTATGAATGTCATGCTCTAAGAAACAGTTCTACACAGAATTTGCATTTGTAGTTCTGGTACAACATTTCTAGGTACTCTTCAAGTTTCAAGTAATAAATTCTAACAAATGAGGCTAACAACTTATGTAGAGTTCAGTAAGGAATTATCACCTTCAAATGATTTTTACATGCTGCAGTCTACATGATGCTATGGTCCTTTTCTTTTATGCCTATATCTACCTGCATGCAACTTGCACAAGACTGCACTAGACTCAGACTGAATTTTGCAGTGGGATGGGCTGCTTTTTTCCAGCTGCAGGTTAAGATTTCTAGACGTTAACAGGCTCACAAAGCTATGAAGGAAATTAACAGGCAAATAAAGCTCACATACTGTTCACGTCCTTTGCTCTACAATTATGATTGCTATCTTTCAGGAATTAGAGACCGATACTTAGAGTTGAAGACACTGTCAGTACAAACTTGCAGTGTCACAAGATCCCAAGCAGAAATATTAGAAGCCAAAACAAAGTGATGTCGTTACTAAGGTGAGTAACCAACAGAACCACAACACGCAGATCAGCCTCAGCATGGGTGGAGTGTATGGCACCCCTTCATGTTTGGGACAGGACATTTCAGGTTTAATTCACAATGCCACTATGGCAACATGAAACTGCCCATAGCTGTGTACTCCCCCATTTCTTTACTTGTAAAGCAAGAATGTTTATGTTTCACCATAAAACTTGTATTTATTGAAAACAAATGGAGGAGTATACTAATTCTGGACACTCCTTCGTGTTCATCAATTAGTTTAAGCAGGTTGTTGATTCTGTAACAAAACAACTCTGTGTGATTGGTCTTTTTTTTTTTTTTTTAATTGTGTAACTGGTGACAAACATCTTAGTGTAAAACAATGCTTTTTGGTACAAACATGATGTTAAACTGGTAGTCCTATTGTTATTCCAGACTTCCAGCACTGAGTCTAAAACAAAAAAAACAGACCTCACCCCACAACAACCACCAGCAAAACATCTAATAACCTTTATAGTTTCTATTTTAAAGGCTTTGTTACATTTATTTACAAAAATGGCACCACTTCTAATCTTTTTTTCATTATTTCAAATCAGTCCTCTTAAAGCCTGGCAGTTTTTCAACTTGCTACTAATTGCAGCCCTCTGTCTGCTATGTTCCTGAATGGCTGTTAACTGCGTTTATTGTGATTATATATACAGCTTTCACACACAATACCTTCATACTTCCCC